GAGTGAATGTTTTCGTTTTTTGCTTTTATTCTTATTTTAATTTTTGTGATATATTTTCATTTTCATTTAAAAGCCATTCATTCAATTCAATACTCTACCTCCAGCAGCCAGTCAATAATGACAGCCAACTGCAATATTGGACAGACAACAGACGTTCGGATGGGAGTGATAATGAATTCGGGCAGTTTTTCATATGAAATGATCATGTTTATAGACATTGGCCATTTCGTTTTACCATATGTCTGTCTGATGAGATAGGGTTTCTGTTGAGTCTAGGGTCGAGAATTTTCAATGCACATATACTGTGGTGTTTTCGAAACAAAAAATTACAAAATATTGTTCAATATCCAGGAGGTATAAAAAACGCCTAAAAATTTTAAAATATAACATTAACCTTGACAGAGGTTCAATTCAGGCCCATACATATCAGTATTGCATTTTGGGTATCGTTCCGAATAAAGGCCTATTTCAAAATAATTTTTTTCACTATTTCCAATTATTTTTTGTTCCTATATCCACCCACTGTGCCCACATCCATTCCAATCAGCCAATGATTATTATGTGTAATATTTGCTGGAGTAATTTTACTTCTACGTCTTTCCATCAGTGTCAGTTGGACACAAAAATCACACACACATTGATTCGCATATATATACAAAAAATGAGCGGCAAACAAAAAAGTGAAATAATAAAAATTGACAGATTTTAATAGCAATTTACTTTTTTGCGCTCTTCTCTTTACCATCTTTCCATTTTTTTTTTCACATTTTATGCTGGTATATTTTCATATATGTGAATAATGGTCGTTTCATTTTGCAAGAGCCAGCCAGCCACACAACAACAACTATTGTTCGAATTACTGTTATAACAGGGCTACAACAACAACAAAAACCGTGGTGAAATGAAATATTGTTGTATATACAGTTATGTTGTTGTAACTCCTCCGTTCATTGTTTTCACCTATTGCAGTAGGTGAACCCTTTCGAATGGAATATTTAACAATATCGGCCATAGATAGTAGAGGATAATTAAAACAAGTAAATAAGATGTAAGTTCGGCCGGACCGAACTTCCAATACTACCATCACAATTTGGAACGAATTTGTCAATTTTCAAAAAATTAAAATCCGTCAAAAATTCTGTTAAAATCTTAAATACACCGAATGTAGCCATTATAATAGGGTCCATACGGCGACATGGACATGCATAGACAACTTTTGTCATAAGCCATTACAATATTAAAATGCGAAACTTGAAAAAATTCAGTGAGTATTGTAACTAAAATCATCAAAATACCGAACATATCGACTATACGAAGACGTGGACCTGCACAGGCAATTTTCTGTCATAGGCTGTAGTATCCGTTACGAACTTCAAATACCGAATTTAAAACGATTTCGGTGAATAATGTCGCTAAAATCAATAAAATACCTAATATCGGGAGGTGCCGAGGTGCGTGGACCTACACGGACAATTTTCTGTCATAGGCTGTAGTATCCTGCGTACATAATATACATTTGAGTAAAATTTTATCAATATCATCTCAATATCAAGCTAGGGTGATTTCCACAGAAAAACAGACGGAGGGACATCGCTAAATCGACATAGAATTTTATGCTGATCAAGAATATACATATATACTTTGTGGAATATATATTTGTTAAAAAGAAAACCGTTTTCAAACGGAAAATTCATATCATATTATATTTATCAATTTGGATATATTTTCTTAAAAATACCATGGGGAAACTTATGTCCAAAACCTTAAAAATTCTGAAAAGAACGGGATATTGTTATATGGGGCCTCCACCTTCAAATTAACCGATATATTAAATTTTTATTAAAAAAAACAAGTAAAAAAGCAGTAAGTTCGGCTGGGCCGAACTTTGAATACCCTCCACCATTTGGAACGAATTAGAAATTTTTCAAAAAAATAAAATCCATTAAAAATTCTTTTAAAATCTTTAAAATACGATATTGTGAACCTATAAAGACAAATCTATGTCTGCGTGTAAAGTACTCACAAGGAACTCCTTGTGTGGATTTTCAGATAATTCTATGGGAAAAAGTGGCTAAAATCATCAAAATACCAAATATAGGGGAGTACCGTTATATGGGGGATATACGATATTGTGGACCTATATAGACAATTAGATAACTATATAGATAATTCTCTGACGAGGTATAAAGTACCCACAAGGAACTCCTTGTGTGGATTTTCAGTCAATTCCGATGAAAAATGTGGGGAAAATCATAAAAATACCGAATATCGTGGGTACCGTTATATGGGGGATATACGATATCGTGGACCTGTATAGACAAAGCACTCCTTTTGTGGAATTTCAGACAATTCCATTGAAAAATGTGGCTAAAATCATCAAAATACCGAATACTGTGGGGGTACCCGTATATGGGGACTATGCGATATTGTGGACCTATATAGATAATTCTCTGCACCCGTAACAAAAAAGTTTATATTGGGAATTTATGTGAATTGGATTAGACCAACTATGAACCTCACTTGAATCATTATCATGGCTATAGAGTAATCACAATCTAGGAACTATATCCAACTCTGAATTGATTTTCAATAAATTTAGTGGAGGCTTTTGTACCTCTATTGCCTAATATCATTGCTTAATAGATTGGTAAATTCGGATGAACAGGTATACAGAAGCTATATAAAAGTCTGAACCGATCTCGATTAATTTTTGACAGAGGTATTTTCGAGCTGTATCTGATGCCCGGTATCAAATATCATTGTTGTGGAATGCATATTAGGCATGAGGGGTACCTTAGCATAGCACCAAATCGGATGAAACATATATTTGAGAGCAATAGCTGTATCTAAACAGATTTTCACCAAAATTCGAAGCTCTTGCTTCTAAGTGCCAAAATCCAGTCCAAGAAAACCGATCTCGGCTAAAGATATATGTGGGAGCTATATCCAAATCTGGGCCAATCTTGACAACATGTAAATCACTTATTTCTGAGCTATATCTGAAATCTGGTACTAAAGATTATTGGTGTGGAATGCCTATTACGCGTGTGAGGGTTATAGCTATATCTGAACCGATTTTCATCAAACTTGATCTACTATGATGAATTCAGTCGGATAAAGATATAAAAGACAAAAATATATATATGGATATATATAAAGATATATGTCGATAAAATTTTACAGAGGTATTTCTGGGCTGTATCTGATATCTGCTACCAAATATCATTGTTGTGTAATTCATATTACGCATGTAAGGGACTTAAAACCCCAAAATCGGATGAAACATATATATGGAAGCTATATGCACAACTGCACCGATCTTCGCCAAAATTAATGTATTTGTCTCATGTCATTTGGGCTAATTATCCCGAAATCAGTTGAAGATATATATAGAAGCTATATCTAAATTTTAACCGATTACCACCAATTTCAATAGGGTTCGTCCTTGTGCCAAACAAATATTGTTTGAAAAATTTCATCTCAATCGGAAAATAAATGCGACCTGCATTTTGTTCACAGAAACTCATGGACTGACATTCACAAATCGACTCAGGAAGTTATGCTGTGAAAATCCTCAAAAGTATCTTTGGGTCTATCTCGCTTCCTTCTCCATGTTACAAACAAATGCACAAAGACATTATACCCTTACCACTATGTGGTGTAGGGCTTAAAAACGGAGGCCAATGGACCTATTTTACATTGCATCTGGGGAAAAATAATACAATTAACCTCTTGAAAACTGAAGACAATAATCCCTCTTACAAATCACGCCCCACTTGTTTTAGTAGAAGTAATGGGATGTGTGAAATATGAAGAGAATCGGATGATTAATTAATTTGGTTTATGAGCATCATGGATATTCAAAATTTTGACCTTAGGCGGGGGAAGTATCAGAAGGAGTGGACCGATACATTCCATCTTCACAGCAGATCTTGTGTTAGCGAAAATAATGGGATGTGTAAAATATGAAGAGAACTGGATCCTTATTTCATATTTTATGATCGTTTTGGTTGTTCAAAAATCTGGTCCTTTGTTGGTGAGGTACCACAAGGGTTTCGCAGATATATATCATCATCACAACAGATCTTGTGTTAGCGAAACTTTTTGTATGTGTGAAATGTGAACAGAGCTGCATGTTTATTTCGCTTTTTTAAGCGTTTGATTTTTCAAACTTTTTAGCCCTATGTGGGAGAGGTACCAGAAGGAATGTCCCGATCTCTACCATCTGTATAATAAATCTTGTGTTGATGGAAATATTGAGATGTGCCAGTTATGAATGGAATCCGATGTTTATTTCGCTTTTTATGAACTTCATGAATATTCACAATTTTGACCCTTTGTGTGGGAGGTACCAGAGAGAATTGACCTATATATCCCATCTTCGCATCAGAACTTGCATGTGAATGTGAAAAATATGAAGACATTCTGACTTTTACATAACATTTTATAAGAGTAATATTTGTTAAAAAAATTGACCGATATTGTCCATTTTCGCATCTGACCTAGCACAGATGCAAATATTCGGATCTGCAAGGTATCATCGGGGGTAGACCGATATTGCCCATCTCCTATTTCGAACCAAGTTTGATAGTAATAGTACGATATACCAAGTTTGAAGCAAATCGAATATTCCCTTCAAGAGTTATCGTGTGCAGCAACCAGACGGACGGATGGAAACCCCTAGATCGATCCCAAGTTTCCTAACAACGATTTGGTACAAAGAGACCTAGTGTCTAAAACCGTTATTTTGATGACGCACGTTTTGGTCGTATTAAATGTTATATACTCTCTGTAGGCATATGGTTTCAGCAACATAAGCTTATCCTCATATGCCACTCAGCCTCTCAATCCTCTCTCAAGATTTTTAATAAATTTAGCAGCCTTGGTATTTTTTACAAAAGATGCCTTTTTTTAAAGACCCCATGAACTGATTGTAATATCTCTTTTCACACTAGCCTAGCATAATATTCATTATCCCCCCTTTCTTTCTCTTGTTTCAGTGCCTTTGGTATGAGTGACAAAAGCAGTACCACCAACAGCCTACCGAATAGTCCCATTCACAATAACAACAACAATACATCGTTGCTGAATAAAAACAATGCTGTCGCGAACCTGTGCAGCAACAACAACAATGCGAATGCCATCAATAATAACAACAACAACACGTGCAGTACAAATCGCAATCTGATGGTGGTGGACGGCGAATCATGCTTTCGCATGGACACCGATGGGCCGTTCCTGCGCGAAGAGCCCGATCCGGACAATATTAAAATGTTCGTTGGCCAGGTGCCAAAGTCGATGGATGAGGCTCAACTGCGTGCCATGTTCGAGGAATACGGGCCGGTGCATTCGATAAATGTGCTGCGCGACAAAGCCACCGGAATCAGTAAAGGTGAGTGGAGAAATGATTGTTTGGGAATAAAAAAAACCCTATTGATTTTGTATATATGTATATGTGTGTTTGCAAATGTGTGTATGTCCTTTGTAATAATGGAATAGCAGCATCATATTGCCCCTTTTTGCATTGTGTCGCAGTTTTTTGTTACACCTTGCCTGGGGCAACGAGGAACAACATTGTGTTGCAAGGTAGCTTGGCTGGTTGTCTACCTGCCTGCCAGCCAGCCAGCCTTGTTGCTTGCTTCCATTTATGCTGAAGTGATGATAATTTATTGTTTTTCACAAGATTTTTATTTAAAAATCATTTATAAAAATAAATTGTTTTCCCAGCCAGATTGCCGGACTGGTGTGCAAATATATATCAAATGCTTGTTGGTCCAGACGCTGCCGTATGAGATAGATGCATGGGCTTTTAATTTAATATTAAGAGGGTGGGAGAAAAAGTCACCATTAAATGTTGTTGAAGAGGTTGTTGGTAAGCAGGTCCTCCATGGATCTTCTAAGGGTACTAATGATAGAAGGGTACTACGGGTCTTCTGTAGACAAAAGACCAGTATTTCGATAGCTTAAAGATCTTCTGAAGGTCTTATAAAAATAGAAAAATGTATAGATTGATGAAAGAGTACTAACACATTTTCTATATATAGGAGAGCATCCTAGACGAAGAGCTTTTTAAGATATATTTTTTAGAGATCTACAGGGTGAGATAAAAAACTGCAACAAAGTTAAATGCCATAATTTTTAATTTTTTTAAATTTTATTGAATGAAAGCAAAAAGATCGATTAAACATCTTTAACACGTCTTCAATGGCAGGAGAGCTTCCTAGACAAAGAGCTTTTAAAGATATATTTTTTTTTATCAATAAGAGAGTTTTTATAGGTCTTATATAAACAGCATAGCTTTTGCAGATCTTATATCCACAAAAGTCTTTCACTAGTCTGAGATAAGTGAATGTAAAGGTCTTATATAGATAGAAGTCTATCCTCAATTCTCTTTTATAGCCTTTACTGGAGTCCTTTCTACAGAAATGCATTTAAAGGTCTTCTATAAATAATAGGCTTTAGTCATGGCGTTATAGGTAGAAGAGTTCATTCTAGTTTTTTAAAGGAAGAAGAGTTCTTCGAGGACTTTCGTCCATAGAAGGCTATCCTCAGGTTTTCTATTAATAAGAAAGCCTTTACAGGTCTTCTATAGACTAAGAAGCTTTTACCAGTACTATTTAGACAAAAAAACTCCAGGTCTTCTATCAATAAAAAAGCTTTTACAAGTCGAGCTATAAAGAGGCAGTTTATAGATATCAGGCTATTCTCAGATCATTTGCCGATAGATGAGCTTTACAGGTATTCAATAGAGAGACGAGCTTTCCAAGGTCTATAGAAAGAAGGCTTGCACAGACATAAGGGTGAGAATATCGGAAACGCTTTTTTGAATGGCTTAAGTCATAGACTGGCTTCATCGGAAAAGAACAAAGGAACGTAGGACCAAAATCGAACTAAGTAAACCTAAAACTCCTTTGTTCCTCTACAAAGAAGCCAGCCAATGACTTAAGCCAGTCAGAAAAGCATTTTATGTATCCTCACCTTAAGGCTTTCACCACTGGTAAAAGAGCTTTTAGAAGTCTTCTATAGACGGGAGAGCTTTTACAAGCTTTATATAGGCAAGAGCGTATCCTGAAACCCTCGCTTAAAAATATAGCTTTTCAATTAAGCTTTTATTAAGCTCATTATTAAGACATCACAGCGTTAAAGGTTTTCTATAGACAAAATACCTTGTGTAGGTAGAAGTCTTTTCATGGGTCTTCTATCAATACAAGAGCTTTCTAGGGTCTTATATAGACTTCTAAATCCCTTCTGTCAGAAAGAGAGAGCTTTTACAGGCATAGGAGAGAGAGAGGGGTTTTTAGAAGTATTCAATACACAGGCGAGCTTTTAAAAGTTTTCTATAGACATAAGGTTTTTCCAAGATCTTCTATAAATCGAAGAGCTTTTAAAGAAATATTGGAGGCAGCCTTGCCTTCAAAAATCTTTCAATAGACATACAACTTTCATCAGAACTTCTATCTTTAAATTAGCTTTTAGAGGTCTGCCAAAGTTGGAAGGGCTTTAAAGGGCATTAGATAGCCAGAAGTGTATCTACAGACCCTCTGTCACAAAATAATGATTTTAAAGGTCTTCTCTAGACAGACTAGTTGTTACAAGTGTTCTATAGACATAAAAGCTTTCAAGTTTTCTATAGATTAAAGACTTTCATCAAGGCTCCTATCGATAAAGGGCTTTTGGCAGAACTTTTTATTGATCTTTTGCGGGTTGCAGACCAGACGAGCTAATAAAGTTCTTAATATAAAGAAGAGCTTTTAAGACCTTCTGCCAATTAGTGAGCTTTTAGAGGTCATTTATACTTCTCTCTATTGAGAGCTTTCCGCCAAAAATAGAGCTTATAGAGATATTTTATAGATATTAAAGCTTTTACAGGTCTTCTACTATAGACAGAAGCGTTTATTCAGGCCTCCTTAAAAAGTCGTCTACAGGTCTTCTCTACACATACAATCTATAAGAGGCGTTCTATAGATATAAAAGCTTTAAAAGTTCTTTTAAACGCAAAAGGCTTTCACCAAGGCTCCTATCAATAAAAAGAGCTTTTAGAAGCATTTTATAAAAAGTCAAGCTTGCTGAGGTCCTCTATAAGTCGAAGAGCTTTTAAACGTTTTATATAAAGAGAAGAGTTTTTAGGGGCCTTCTATCTGTAAGTGAGCTTTTAGAGATCTTCTATAAAGAGAAGACGTTTTTAAATATCTTCTGTTGATAAGGGTTTTTTTAAATGTCTTCTATACTTCTATCTATTGAGAGCTTTCTGTCAATAAGAGATCTTTTAGGGATATTTTTCTCTAGACAGATAATCTATTAAAGGCGTTCTATAGATATAAAACCTCTCAGAGATCTTCTGAGGACAGAAATCTTTTACGCATCAATAACCGAACTTTTAGAAGAATTTTATAGAAAGACGAACTTTTTGAGGTTCTTTTTAAACTGTCTTTAATACTTCTCTCTATTGATAGCTTTCTGGCATGAAGATATAAAAGATTTTGCAGGTCTTCTTTAGACAAAAGGCTTTCCCCAGTTACTTTTTATGAAAGAGCTTTAAGAAACATTCTATAAAGAATAGATCCTTTAATGGCTTGCTGTCAATATGAGCTTTTAAGAGACTCCTGTAGGCATATAAGCTTATATAGGGGTTCTATCAAAAATAGGTTTCTCAATCTTTCCCACTTTATTCTTGAATGCCTTTGTATTCTTTAAATAAAAGAGCTTTTAACGGCTTTTAGACAATATGTGAGCTTATAGGGGCCTTTGAATGACTCTTATGGACAGAAGACCCTTTATAGGGGTTCTATTGATAAAAGGCCTATCATAATATTTTTATAGACGGAAGAGTTTTTATCAGGCCGTTTATAGGCAGAAAGCTTTCCCCAGAACTTCTGCCGATAAAGAATATTTTTAGCTATCTTCTATAGATTTAGAAAGCTACCACCTACTCCTCTTTCGATGAAAAGAGCTTTTACAGGCCTCCTATGGACTGATGAGGTTTTATAGTTTTTCAATAAGTGTAAAAGCTTTTAAAGGACATATAAGAGCTTTAAAAGACATAGAAAAAAGCCTTTCATCGGAACTTCTATTAACAAGATAGCTTTTACATGTATTCTCTAGACGAAGAGCTTTTACCACAATGTTTTCATCAGGACTTCTTTTGAAAGGACTAATGAGCTTTTACATGTATTCTCTAGACGAAGAGTTTTTACCACAAAGTTTTCATCAGGACTTCTTTTGAAAGGAGACCCTTTATAATAAACAGAGAACATTTTACAACTCTGGCTTCTGAAAATGACTTTCCACAGCTCTTTTTTTACAGATTGAAAACCCTTCATTGGTCTTCTGTGGAATATAGAGTTCTTCAATGAAAAGGGTGTATTTTACAGGTCTTCTATTGAAGGACTTACTTTTTCTGACTTTTACAGGTCTCCTATAGACTGATAAGCTTTTACAGTTTTACTGTAGACAGGAGAACTTCAATGGACAAAAGGTTTCCATCAGAATTTCTATCAATAAAAGAGCTTTTACATGTCTTCTCTAGACGAATAGCTTTTACCTGAAAACTCTGCTCATCTTTTGCAGATAGAATAGCTTTCGTAGTTCGACCATGGATAGAAGGCAACTTACCCGTCTTTAAAGAAAAATACCTTGATATATATTCTAGGAATAGAATACCTTTTTATACCCTCCACCATACTATGGAGGGTATATTAATTTTGTCATTCCGAAATATTAATCTTAGACCCAACAAAGTAGACGATTAGCCATGTCCGTCTGTCTGTCTGTTGTAATCACGCTATCTTTCGAACGAATTGAGATAGAAGCCTTAAAGTTTGCACACATGTTTATTTTGGGCCATGTACGTCCACGTTTTCATATAGCCCCCATATAACGATACCTCTCAATATTCGGTATATTGATGATTCTGATATTCACCGGAATTGTTTAATATTTGGCATTTGAAGTTCGAAATGGATACTACAGCCTATGCCTGAAAATTGTCTGTGCAAGTCCACGTCTTCGTATAGCCCCCATATAACGGTACCTCCCTATATTCGGTATTATGATGATTTTAGCGACACTATTCACCGGAATTGTTTTAAATGTAGTGTTTGAAGTTCGAAATAGATATTTCAGCCTAAGGCAGAAAATTGTCTATACAGATCCACGTCTTCGCATAGCCCCCATACAACGGCACCTCCCGATATTCGGTAATTTGATGATTTTAGCGACATTATTCACCGTAATTCTTTCAAATGTGTTTGAAGTTTGAGATGAATACTACAGCCTACGACAGAAAATCGTCTGTGCAGGTCCAGGTCTTCGTATAGCTCCTATATAACGGTACCTCCCTATATACGATATTTTGATGATTTTAGCTACATTATTCAACGTTTATTTCAAGTT